GAAAGATGAGCTGAGTTACCCAACTGGAACTGGCCAGCTGGTCCCCATTTAGGCAGCTTGGACTATTCACAGGTTGTGTTTGTCCTTTGTTCTTGAAGAGGACCATGGCATCAGGGTGATGATGACATGACTTTCAATTGACTTTGATTTGAGTGAGGAATGGCTGTTCAGGGTCACCAGCCTCACTTTCTCCTCCAGAGCTATCTGGGTCCAGTGGCTAGATATTAGGGCCCTTGTGTATCAGAGTGAATGTAAATAGTAAGTGTTTCTCTTTTGGCCAGCAACCCTGAGGGTCTTCCCCTCTTGGTTTGATTTTTTTTTTTAATTTTAAATTTAATTTAATTGACTCACTTCTTAAAGAGGCCTATTCACTGAAAGGGCATTGCCTCACTCAAAGTGAGAATCTGAAATGACCTTAGCTTAAAAGGGCCAGGGACTCCCGCTGAATTCTGAGCCATCTCCAGTCATCCTAATTGATATCTGGCCACTGGACCCAGATGGCTTTGGAAGAGAAAGTGAGACTGGTGACCTTGCACAGCCCTCCCTTACTCAAATCAAAATCAATTGCAAGTCATGTCATCATCTTCCTGATCTCATGGTCCTCTTTGAGAATGAAGGGCAGACACAACTGTGGTTATACCACTCTATTATATTGCTACATAGGACCACAGATTCATTTATTTATAGGACTAGTCTTTCACATAAATCAAAAGTAATGTAAGTATAAATCAAAAGTATTTATTCGATACCCACTATTTACCATTCCGCCCAACTGCAGAACTCTCCAAATTAATCCTTTATTGGCTTAGCAAAGATACCTTTTAGCCTCTACTACCTTCTTCTGGTTTCATGTATATCCTTAAGTTCTGCTATATACTTATGGGGTAGAAGATGCATGTTACTAAATGTGCATATGAAAAAAGAAGAGAGATTAAGTGGTTGGAGGGAATCAATAAGATAAAGAGTATGGGTGAAAAAGGGAAAGAAAAAAGGGAGAAATTTAAGAGTTACAATAAGTTTAACTTAATTATTGCTTGACTCAGTATCTTTGGGTATAAATAAATTTATGAGCATAATGGGCTTAACAACCTCAATGCATTACAAATGGGGAATTATGCAGGAGAAACTATGAAAAAGTTGCTATCAGAGACATGTATAACTGAAAAAAGATGGATGAGTCATTTTTGGCCAGTTTACAATCTTGTATTCCATTGGTATCCATGCAATGTCAAAAGAACAAGAGGAAAGTCCCCATATGTTGGTTAAACCCCCAGTAGCAAATCCATGAAAAGAAAGGTGAAGAGTCACATAAGATGGGTAGTAAGTTGTGATCTAAAGCATTAGAGCTGCTGTCTATACTAATGTGATTACAGATCTATGAGCATTTTGGAATACATTCATCTTTCAAAAGCTGTTGGAAGTGATGAAGAGAATTGCTGTTGAGGACTTGATTCTGTCTAATTGGAAGGACCTAGGTTTTTGAAGCATAAATTATGAAAACTTTAGAGGAAAATGCATCCTCTAAATAGGTGATAGACAAGAAGAAAACCAAGCACAGTCTGACATGAACCTATTTCAGAAGAGCAAATTTCAAAGCATTCAGAGAAGCTTTAGATAGCCTAAAATTCTACGAAGGAAGTCAACCCAGGAAAGATGGGAAATTTTCAAGAATGAAGATACAGTAATAATTTCAATGATGAAAAGTTCTAGAAGGCTAAGTACCCTGACATGGTTTCACACAGAACTCATATGCAACTTAGATTTAAAAAAAAAATACATAGAAAAGGAAACCAAAGACATAATGTAAGACCAATACAAAAGCAAGGCATAGTCCTGTTAGAATAACATGAGGAGCTTTGAAGATAGGAATGAGATGAAGGTAGTAATAAATGCTATGGCAAACAAAAAAAAAAGGTTGTTTTTTTTTAAAGCAAAAGTGGGAAAAAAATACAAGAGAAGCAGTGCTATGGAGTGGGCAGCATAAAGATAATAGGTGTCAGAGACAAGGTAAAACTACTCAAATCTAATTTGACTTTTGTTTTCTCTACCAAAGAATAATCATATTCAAAGAGTTGCCAAGTATTATATATTTTGTTTCTAAATCTCTCATATACTTCCCCTCTCTCCACTTACATTGCCACAGTCCTAGTTCAGAACCTCATCTTCCACTCAAACTACTGCAATTTGCTCATATTGTTTCCAGTCTCTCCCCTTTCCAATGCCTCCTTCACACAGCTATCAAAATGATTTTCCTTAAGTATAGGACTGACCATGTTATTACCTTACTCAATAAATTCAAATGACTTTCTAATAACTTTAGCATCAAATGTAAACTTCTGTTTGGAATTAAAAACGTGGCCCCAACTTGCCCTTCTGATCTAGTTGTACACTACTTCCTTTCACTACCATTCAACCAAACTGGTCATCTTATTGTTGCTCCTTCATGACATTCCATCTTCCTTTTCCCTGCTTTTATACTGACTCTTCCCAATGGCTGTAATGCCTGCCTTTCTCACCAGCAGCTTTTTGACTATCTAGTTTTCTTTAAGTTATTTTTTTAGACAAGGCATTTTTCTTTCTTGGCTGTACTTATTCTGTTACAAGTTAGTTCTATGGGAGTGGGAGAGTCATCATTGGAAAAGGCTGTATAAAAAATAAAATACCATCAATAAAGCATTAAAAGAAAAATTCAGAGGAAACTGATGACTCACTCATTTGTACTGATCAAGAGCAAAGTAAGCAGACCCAAGAGAACAATGTACACAATGACCACCATAACACAAAAGAACATGCCTCTACAATGCATCAAAATTCACATACTGCAAGATCAATTTTGGCTCCAGAGAATTAATGAAGAAATGGATGTCTGTCACCTTGGTCGAGAAGTGGTGAATTATAGGTATAAAATGAGAGACATTATCGTGTTGGTTTGTTTTGTTCAATGATACTTTTTGTACTATAATACAATAAAGAGTTCTATTAGTTTTGGAAAATGACGGTAGTTTTTAAAAGCATTCATATTTAACATAAAACCCTTAAAGTCTCTCATGATGTATTTGTGGATGAGATAGAGAGGTGTGGAGCTGTATAATAATACAATCAAGTGTATTCAGAACTGATTGAATAGGTGCACCTAAAAAGTATTCGTTAATGGCTTATTGTCAACTAGTCGGTCTCTGGAGAATAGCGTATCCTAAGAACCTGTCCTTAGCCCTGTCCTATTTAATATTTTATCATAGATTTGGATGAAGGCATTCAAGGCATTTTTGTAGATCACATAGAGTTGGCATGGATACACATTGTATGACAATCAGGATTGAAAAAAATATTGACAGGCTGGAATGCTGAGACACATCTAATAAGATGAAATTGAATAGCAATAAATTAAAAATCCTACATTTGGATTTAAAAAAAAATCATCTTGACAGGTATGAGATAGGACAGATAATTGATCTGAAAAAGTTCTTCAGGTTTTATTGAATTGCAACTCAGTATGTGTCCATACATGTGTTAGCATGATGTGCCAGCCAAAAAGCTAATACCATCCTACACTATGTAGAGAGACATAATGTCCAGAATTATTTCCAAGAAGGAAATAATATTGCTGTACCTTGATTCATCAGAGTACATATAGTTCTCAGCACCACATTTTAGGAAGGGAACAGACAAGCTGGAGAGTATCCCAAGGAAGACAATCAAGTTGGTGAGTGGCTTCCGGACCTTACTGTATAAGGATCAACTGAAGGAACTATTGAGGTTCAGTCTAGAGAAGAGAAGATGGGAGAGGGGGGTGAGAATGATGGACATCTTAAAGTATTTGAAGAAGCTTAATGTGGAAAAGGGATTATTATGGGAACATAGATTTCATAGTATCATTGACTTTTTTTTATAGCAGGTGGCTCAGTAGATAGAGTACAGGGCCTGGAGTCAGGAAGACCTGAGTTGAAATTTGTCTTCAGACACTTGTCAGCCATGTGACCCTGGGCAAATCACTTAACCCTATTTGTCTCAGTTTCCTCATCTGTAAAAAGAGCTGGAGAAGGAAATGGCAAACCACTCCACTATCTTTGCCAAGAAAACCCCAAATGGGGTCACAAAGAGTCAGACATGACTGAAATGACTGAACAACAACAACAAAAATCATTGATTTTGTGCTTGATGGGATCTTAGAGATCATTGAGTTCAATTCCCTAATTTTACAAATGAGGAAACTGAGGCCCAGAGAGGTTAAGTGGCTTGCTCAGGACCACAAATGTCTGAGGTCTTCCTGACTCTAAATGCAATACTCTAGCCAGTGTATCCTATTGCCTTTTAGATTAAACTTGTACTACTTGACTCAAGAAAACAGAACTAAGAGCACTGGATGGAAGTTGAAATGAAGCAGATTTTGGCTTAAAGTAAGGAAAAATGTCCTAAAAATTGGTGCTTTCTTGTGGCAGAATGAGATGCCTTGGGAGGAAGTACAGTCCTCCTCATGGGAGATCTTCAAATGAAGGATGGATGACTGACTAGTTGTCAGGCATGTTGTATAGAGGATTTTTGTTCCATCACAAGTTGAACTAGAAGGCCTCTGAGTTCTCTTCCACCTCTGAGATCCTGTGATTCTATCAAATGATTTTTCTATCACTTTTGTGCATGGGACTGTAATTCTCAGAATAATTTGAATGGTTAGCACTGTACTAGTGGGCATTAAATGAAGGCATAGAGAAATGTGCCTTTGACCTGTTCAGGGCCACGAGAGAGTATTCAGACAGTATGAAAGATGACTAATTCAAATTAATCATTCATAAAACTAAAATTATCATTACTTTAGATACTTTTGTGAAACGAGACCTGTATTTTATGGACACAGCCAATGAGGGAATTTAATTTGCTTCACTATGCATGTTAAATGGAATTTGTTTTTTTTGTCTTTCCTTTTGTTTCTGATAGTTATGTTAATTGTTAAAAGTATTTTCAAGAAAAGAAAGGGAATAGAGGAAAAATAAGTACAAACTTACCAAATTCTCAATAGTTCTACTTAAAGATCTGTATTCTTGTGAAGTTGGTGAATCTAGCTGATTTGTGTATTCTACATTTGTGATCTGAAGGTCGCTTTGATAAAGGTATGGTTTCTGATCTAGAGAGAGAAGAGAAAAGAGAAGAAACATGTTCATTAATTAGTGGTTAGGAATACATATTAATAATGACTATAATAACAGTTACTCCTGCATAGCATAACAGATAGATGACTTGCTTTGGAGTCAGAAAAATCTGTGTTTAAGGCCCCCCTCTAACACATACTGGCAAGTGATTTTATGTTTCTTTGCCACAGTCAAACACTTTAGTTTACAGATGCATAGTTAATCTGTATTATTTGAGAGAGCTTCTACACTGTGAGTTCCCTAGACCCATGAAATCATGTTCCCAAAAGGGGAGCATCAGAAGGCTATATTGAACAAAACAGAATTTAAAAACTAATGTAAAATTGGATAAAGTTACTTTTCCTCCAATTCATCTAAAAAAAGGAAGGAAATAAATGTGTTAAATGCCTAGTCTGTGCCAGGGACTATGCTAAGAGCTTTATAAATGATACCTCATTTGATCCTCACAACAGCCCTAGAAGGTTGATGCTTCTATGATACCAGGTGAGGGTACTGAAGCAGACAGGAATTAAGTAACTTGGCAAGAGTCATAGAGCTAGTAAATTTTTGATTCTGGATTTGAACTCAGATCTCCCTGATTCCAGGTCTACCTCTCTATCCACTGCTCTGTCACTGTCTTTTACACAAACTGAAATGCGTTATAAGTCTTTAAGTTGGCAAGTTTAGCAAATATCTGGCTTCAATATATTTTTAGGTATCTTGAGGTAAAGAAAATTCAAAGTGCTCTGAAAATATTACCTATTAATTCCAAAGGCAAGATAGCAATGTGGTTTTATATTCATCTAACCAATGAAAATACAGTTTTAGAGATGGACCCTCAATGTCATTTAGTCAGTCATTACTTTAAACAAACTGGAACACAAATCTTCTGATACTGAATAGTGGAATCTAAGAGTTGGAAAGGTTATTTACTCAAATACTTTAGTGAGAACCATTTTCTCTACTAGGCTATTTCCCACATACCACCATTCACCCATATGTGAGGTTAAAAGTGCTATCTTTCCAGGTTCATTAGAAACATTGTCTTCATCTGTATATCTTATTGGGTCTCTTATCGGAGAGAATTCAAATTAGTTTTTTATTAAATTCTCCAGAATACTGCCATTCACTGATGTGCCTCTATCTCAATACATTTTTACCCATGCTTCTAAGTGACTCACATAGAAGTCTGTTGAAGGACAAGGCATGTGGAGCCTCAGCAAAAATAGGGGAGGCATTTTTGTGAGACCAAAAGTGCTACTCACTGAGCTGGTTTGTGAGAAAAGTTGACTGTCTTCTTTAAATACTTTCATCATCTTGTGAGTGTGGATGGTTCCTCCACTGACTCTAATCCCAACTCCTCAATGGTTTGGTAGGTAGTCTTCAAGAATTACTCTGGCTAAATAGTTCATCACCCTGTGGCCAACCTGGTGATAAGCCTCTCCAAATTTAGCTAAACTGGTGTTCTTGGTGGGTAGACAGACTTAAATATGTTATTGGGCCTATTTCCAGTTCGATAGAACCTGCCAAAGCCAGAGCTTATGCACTATCTGTATTGCACTGAAGAAGCCAAGATCCCTTTGTAATGGTGAGGCATCAGAGGAGGACTTGAGTGGAGGTACCACTTCCAATATCAACAAATGATGAAAATACTCTTAGTTGCATTTGAAATAGTTGTAAATAGCATTATGTAGCTAGAGATAGTGTTGGACTTGAAGTTGGGAAGACGTGAGCTTGAATCCTGTCTCAGATCCTTTCTAAGTTACAGGACTCTAAGCAAGTCATTTCACTTCACTCAGCCTCAGTTTCCTAATTTGTAAAGTGGGGATTATAGCACCTACCTCACAGGGTTGTTGTGAGGATCAAATGAGATAAAATACATAGAGAACTTTTCAAAGTTTAAAGTGCTTTATAAATGCCAGCTGCTATTACTGTTATTATTGATCATGATTAGATTTATAGGTTTTGGGGCCAGAAAAGACATTATTAGTAATTTGGTCTATAGGATCATAATATAAGGACTCTCAGAGCCCGGTACTCAGAGTACAGTTTCCTCCAATAAGAGGTTTTTTTTTTCCCCTAGTTAATTAGTTAATATCCAATGAATTAGTATCCAAACTCCAGGTTGGCTATTTGAGAATCTAATGCTAATATATATATGTGTGTATATATATATGTTTTCCTGGCACTCTGAAATTCACCCTTGGACCAGTTAAACCAGGAGTTAAAAGCACTGAACTCAGGTAAAAAGAAAGAGGGAAAATTTTAATCTTAGAAAAGCAGCATAATAAAAAAGTTCCTTTCTTTCAGTAGAGGAATGCAAACCCATAATAAGGGTTAGTACATTGCAAAATCTGCAAGAAGCAAGAGAGAGAGAAAAAATGGCATCAGCGGGGAAATGCAGATATGGGCAAATGTTAGAAATAAAATTGTCTTTACATTTTACTACATCATATGTGGCTTATTAGAAAATTGCTAATTTTTTTTTTATCTGAAGGGCGATTTTGTTTTCTGGACTAAGGAGCAACACCAGCTAGTCTAGTACTCACCAAATGCTAAAAAGTGGACAAGAAGACCAATGGTCACTCCCAGGATCACCACTCCAGCCACCACAAAAATGCCAACTACAAGTGGATTCAGTGATCTGGTGGCTGATGCCACCCGTCCTGGCCTTAAATTAGAAAAAAGACAAGAGGTTACTTGTACTACTCCAAAAAGCAGACATTTCAGCCCACCTACCTTCCTACCCTTTTCCCCTGACAAAGTAGTTTTCTGGTTTGTATGACTTGATCCTGTAGGAGATGAAATGAGCCACTATTATTATTCTTTCACAGAATCTCAGAAGGGAACAGAGAAGCCTTTTTTTCCCACTTCATTCATCTAATCCAACCCATACCCAAGCACAAATCTTTGTACCATTCCCAGTAAATCATCATCCCTTACTCACTTGAACACCTCAAGTGAGGAAGAATATATTATTTCCCAGAGCAGACCACTCCACTTTTGTAAAACTCTAATTGTTGGGTATTTATCCAGCCTTGGTATCTTCAGTGCCAACCCAGAGCCATTCACATAGCAGGTCCTTCATAAATGTTTGTTGAATTTTAATCAAATTGGAAGGTTAGTACACAAATTTGAATTGTCATTCTCCATCCTGTCCACTCCCCAATACTGCTACTACAGGAGATATGCTTGTATGCACAGTGAAAGGGAGCCTTGGAAAGGTAAAAGAGAGGTTTATCAATTATGTTCTGGAGTTGTTCTTGGTAGTAGTGCTTGAAGATTATTGGGAATATTTGGATTTCCTTTGAATTTTGAAATAGCTGCTGAAGCTCCTTGACCCATAATCTTCCAGCTGGACTCACTTCACCTTCACCTGTCCACTTAGCTCTATTCCCAGTCTTTCAGATCAACTTTGTTTCTAGACAGAAATGATATTCTGAACCCTTGGGTAGTGAGTGGCTCAGCATCCAGTAACATTTACTGTTAGTCTTGCTCTGTTCTTATACTGTTTCTAGCAACTAGCTCTTGTCTAGTCTGTGAATAAGTTTTTCACTATAGATCCAGTACTGTAATATTATATCTTTCTCCTTGGTCTAAGTTTTTTTCTTAATAGAGTACTTTTTTTTTTTTTAACAGAATAGGTTTGGGGAATTCCCAGTGAGGAAAAAAGTCTCTCTCAAGGCAGATTGATACCTCCTCAGCAAGTCATTGTCTCATGTGACATTTAAAAATATTTGAGAGACATAGTTTCTGGGTAATTTAATCATTTTATTAATAATACCAGCTGGTTATTAATAAAAGGATGGTCATTTGGCCATCTCTCTTAGACCAAAGACATCTTACACTAGAATATATATGTTGTCCACAGCTGTATACCCTGATTCTATTTGCCTATTTTGGATCTCTATATATCTCCTGCAATCCCACTTCTCTGATCCTCCATCCATTTTTATAGGATCTAGGACTTTTCAGGATAGACTGCTGTGGTTGGGCAGTGTCACCTTTCACGTGTTCAACCATCATGAAATTGAATGGATATTTTATTGACTAAGATGCTACACCTAGTACCATATTAGTCATTTTGCTTAGTATATACTTTTTTAATGTACAAACATATATGTATTGTTTTCCACTTTGGATCTTTTCTGTCTTTGAAGGGTTAGAATCAGAATAAGTTTTAGTGAAAACTTTTGCATCTCTAGTATCATTCTGATTATAAATGAATCAGCCAGCTGTAAGTTACCCAATTCTCCTATCAGGAAGATAGCAGTTGGTTTTTAGGATGAAGTAAATTATCCTTTACTGTATTAGTTAATTTCAATTTTGCTTGGAAGGTTCAGATTTCTAGAGATTATGAGCTTTTTCATTTAATTTTCCTTACATCTCATTTTTTCTGACTAATATTTGTAAAAACAGGACCCATTTTCTCCCTATCTAGGAAGGAGGTATCTGTAATAATGATATTTTAATTTGTTGCAGCCAAGTTTATGCTAACAAATTAAAGGTAAATAAAATCTGTAGCAAAACTATTTTTTAAAACATTTGCTTCTACTTCCTTATCTACAAACCTTTTAACAGAGTTTGAAAGTAGCTAGATTCACATGTATAAATTTTGTTTCCTCTTCATTATCTGTTCACTTTCTGATAGAAGTGTCCAAAGCAGCAGTCTCTATGTAGCTGAGTCTCAAGGATCTATATATTAATCCCTGCTATGTCTTCTGACCTCCAGGATCATACCACAACTGCCTATTGGACATTTCCCACCAGATGCCCTGTAGGCATCTCGACCCCAGCCTATCCAAAAGTGGATTCATTACTTTCCTCCCAAATCCACCCCTCTTAAAAATTTCTTTTTTTTTTTTTTAGATAGTATCACCATCTCTTCAGTCACCAAGGACCTCAACCTTGAAATCATCCTAAAAACTCACCCTTCCTCACTCTTTACATCTAACTCAATGGCACATGTTACTGATTCTGTTTACACAAAATCTCTTGCATCCTTCTTTACTGTACTCACACAGCTCTCATGCAAGTTTTAATCTTTATCACTTCTCCCTTGAACTATAAAAATAACTTCCTACTTGGTGTCTCTCTCCTGTTTCTCCTTTCACACATGCATCTTCCATGCATCTGCTAAAGTTATTTTTCTATAGCACAGGTCTGATCATGTTGCTTTCCTGATCAATAAGTACTTGTGATTTCCTGTGACCTCTAAGGTCAAATGTAAACTTCTCTGTTTGGTACTTCTAGACATTATACATTAATTTTCTCCATATATCTTTGGTCTGGCGGCCAAACTGGTTTTCTTACTGTTTCTCTTAAATGATATCTAGTCTTCTTGTCTTTTATAGGCTGTCCCTAATGTGTGAAATGTGGTCTCTCCTCATCTCCACCTCTTAGAAGCCCTTGTTTCCTTCAAAACTCAGCTTAAAAACTATCTCCTATGTGAAATCTTTCCTAACTTCCCCAAGTTGTTGATTTTTCTGATTTTCCTGATACCACAAATTTGCTCCAATTTTTTTTCCTGGGCTTATAATTTCATTAATATAGTGAAATTCCAATGAGTAAATGCCCTCCACCAAGAAGATCAATACTTGTTGTATACTTTATAGTCTTAGAGAGTTACATTTCCCTAATTACCTTTTATTTATGTTGTATTTATGTCACATATTTTAATATACTTACAAAAGCATATTGATATATAATATTTTCTCTGATAGAACACAGATTCCTTAAGGGCAGGGACTCTAATTTTTGTCTTTGTATCCCTAGCATAGTGCTTAGCACATAGTATGCACTTAATGAATGCTTGTTGATTGAATGAGGCTAGAATAATAAGTTATATGAAAAAATGCTCTAAATCACTATTGATTAGAAAAATGCAAATTAAAACAATTCTGAGTGCCATCTCACAGCTAACAGATTGACTAACATGACAGAAAAGGAAAATGACAAATGTTGGAAAGCAGGTGGGAGAATTGGGGCACTAATACACTGTTAGTGGAGTTGTGACCTGGTCCAGCCATTCTGGAGAGTAATTTGGAACTATGCCCAAAGGACTATAAAACTGTTCATACCCTTGGACTCAGCAATACCACTACTAGGTCTGTATCCAAAAGGGATAAAAAAGAAAAGAAAAGATAAGGACTTATGTGTAAAAAAAATTACAGTAGCTCTTTTTTGTGGTGGCAAAGAATTGGAAACTGAGGAGATGCCCATCAATTGGGGAATGGCTGAACAAGTTATGGTATATGAATGTAATGGAATACTATTGTGCTATAAGAAATGCTGAGCAGGGTGGTTTCAGCAAAACCTGGGAAGACTTATGTGAATTGATGCAAAGTGAAATGAGAAGAGATAGGAGAAGAGGAGTAACAACATCATATGATGATCAGCTGTGAATGATTTAGCTATTCTCAGCAATCCAATGATCCAAGGCAATGCCAAAGGATTTATGAAGAAAAATGCTATCCACCTCCAGGGAAAGAACTAATGGAATCTGAATGCAGATCAAAACAAATTTTATTTTTACTGTCTTTATTTTTCTGGGGTATTTTTTTTGGGGGGGTCTGTTTTCTTTTACAACATGACTAATATGGAAATATGTTTTGTATGATCCATATAAAATTGTTTGGTCTCTCAATGAGGGAGAAAGTGACCAAGTAAGGGAGTGGATTTGGAACTCAAAATGTAAAAAAAAAATTAGTGTTAAAAATTGTTTTTACATGTAATTGGAAAAAATAAAATATTTTTAAAAAGAACACATTTTAATGGTTCTTTAAGATTTATTCAGGGATTTACAAATAGATAGATAATGAAAGATTTGGTTTTTTGTTCAAACCTGTTATTTCCATGGCAGAGGGATCTCCTGCTAAAGAAACTCTCCACCAATGCAAATCAGCAACTATCTTGCAATTTATAGCCTTTGAGAGTTACCTAGGGTTAAGTGATTTGCTCATGATCACAAAGCTAGTATGTGCGAGAGGCAAAACTTAGGATGCAAATCCATATGTTCTGATTTTAAGTCTAGGACTCTTTGCTCTACAGTAGACCAAAACTCTAGATGCTATACAAAGTAGGTAATCATCCTTTGAATAATTGGCAGTGAACTGCAGTTTCAAAGCTATACTTCAGCAGTTACAAGTAAAGACATTCAGTGTTAAGATTAAGAGTAATGAAAACTGGATTAAGTTGGAGACTTAAAAAAATTTTTGAGTCAGCATATTTTGTACTTTGGATGATCCTCTATGAGAATTTCTTTAGAAACAACTTTGCTTCCAATTTCTTTTTAACTCAAAGCTCCATGAAGCTTATGACTCAGTAAACAGAGGGCAGGGTAGCTAAATTACCTTAATCTCACAATTACACAAGCATGTATGACTCTGATCTAAAACATTAGTATTCTCTTGATAACAATGTAATTCACACATGAATTGCCAGCTCTGTTGATGATAAAATATAAATCAAGACAAAATAAATGGAAAGGTATGCAGTATTTACCTGTTAGCTATTAAGAGATAATATGCCTACAAACTGACCATCAGTTCTTAAATTTGGTTGAATGAATTTGATCTTTTCAAGAAAATACCTAATCTTTACAGCACTGTAGGCAGCCAGTTATGTCAGTCAAAATGAGTTGCCAGCCCTCTTGCACTTTAGCCCTTTCAT